TTTCATTTCTTTGTTGATCACATTTTCATAGCACTGAAAGCCACAGTTTATATATCTGAACAGTGGTGGAGTGGAGAAACTTCGATATTTTTGTTGTTGTTGTTGTTGTCCTGGAGTATTTGATCAAGAAACCAAAATTTTCTTCCCAATTGCTCTAGATGTGCCATGGGACTGTTAGTCCAGATGGCTGTGCCTGGTGAATTGTTCGCACCTATTTTCTCCATGTGTTTACACTTGTTTGAGAATGAACCTGCAACCATGGAGTTATTCATGAACCAGATGTTGAACTTACTTTTACATCCTATCATAATGTACGTTGTCATTCAGCTTGCAAGCAGATGTCGACTTTGACTTTTGAACCTGAGCTCCTCTTTTTGTGTTCTCTATTTGATTTCTGTACCTCTTCTTGTTGCAGAGTTTACAAGAACATTTGCATTTAATGAAAGGTTTTCTTGTCCCAAGTCCATTAACTGTTTGACCTTTAGGTGTTTGCATAAAACTCATTAGCATGTTCTTCTTCATTGCCTCTTGGAAGTCCATCCAATTAACATGTAAATTAAACTAGCCCTTGATGCACAATAATTGTTACTAAAATCCCCCCACTGGCCCATATATTTATTTAGTGAATACCTAGGATCTGATTCTTGTTCCAGTCTTAGCCAGACCTTGTTAGTTTGTTTGTTTGTTTGTTGTTTAATCATGTGTATGTTTAATGTATGCTGGGCTTGCCGGGTAAGACTGCCTGTCCTTTCTGTCACCGTTGTGTCTCCAGAGGCAGTTGGAGCTTTGCTAATTGACTTCAGTGAGCCGGGATTTCACCTTTTCCGTGCAAATGGATAATGGGCATTTTAAATAGCAGGGGGGGAGAGTCTGAGGTGATGGTGGTGGGGTGAGGGTTGTTCAAACTGACACTTCCTCCAAATTATGAGTCAGATCACGCCCTTAGGAACTGTCTCAGGGAGCCTCGCGTACATATGAATGAAGGCAATAGCGCCAGCTTAGGAAGAGGGGGCTTAGGAGAGATTTAAATATGAGCGTAGTGGAAACTCAGGCAGTACATGTATTACACGGGTTCGTTTGGATGCTAAGGTATTTAGTCAGTGGGCATGAACCTACTAACAAGATGCGTCACGCAGGATCACATATGCATCAGTTCATGTCTCTTTTCTAATTAGAAGGGCTCTGTCCCAAGGAAGAACGTCATCCCTGGTGTTCTGTACTGTGCGGAGCACTTGCGGGCCTCTGCTGAGAAAAATTAAGATTGACATTGACTCTTCGGTTTAGATCAAGCCGCTGGACCTCACCTGCAAATTTGCTGTTGCAGAAAAAGAAGAAAAGAATTATTCTACCATAGCAGATTACTGCTTTGGGGAAGGAACTTACTCACTGCCATGTAAATGCATAGAATTTCTACTTATGAATTTCAAAGCAAAGATGGTTTCTCATGTCTCCAGTTGGATCAGTATTTTGAAATATTTAATTTCTGCATTAAACATCTCACCTGAAGGAGGACTTGTCAGTCTGAACCATTGCTTTTTCGAACTATATCAGTTGGTTTAATAAAATATATTCTCTCTCCCTACAATCCCTGCTTCTTTTATATTCTCAGACCATCGTGGCCTCAACAATCCTACCGTGACTGAACTTGATGTGACATGACGTGATTGCAGTGAAGACAAAGTTAATTCAAAATATAAAGAAGAGAATTTGCAAAGAGAAGAAAATGAAACGATCTTTTGTCTCAGGAATGTTACCTAGTTTTAGCAAAAGTTGAAGGAATTGCAGTGGTTTATTTAACTCCGTGTTAGGTAAACTCTAGTCTAGAATAGTGTTAGATTGATATTTAGTACCATACACGCTTCCTCAACAAAATCTGAAGGAATAAATGAAAATACGGTCTTATACTGTTGTGTCTCAAGGCATTTCCATGGTATTTACTGAGCTGCTTCACTGAAATGTGGCTTCTTCAGGGTTTTTTTTCTCCAGTCAGCTATCACCCGTAACTTAGCAATGACATGTCTTAGCCACACTCCAGCAAACTCTAATACAGGTCAATGGCCATTACCGTTTTAGACAACACCTTCTTACCTAGTGCCTTCAGCTATAAGGACTGTGTACATGCTGCTGAAGGTTCTCAGCCCTCAACCCCCGAATATCTGCAACTCCCAAGCCTGAGTTTCTGCTGTCCTCAGTTACAGAGTGCTAATGATCCTAGGTGGCTGAAAGGCCACAGGAACTGTGTGTTACTCTCACACTAACGGCATGCAAGCACCTGTTTAAACAGGAAATTGCATTTGCTTTGCAGATGAGTCGGCTGATTTTCTGTATTACAATTGGATCCCAGAGAGCTGAGAATGGACAGAGAGAAATGCCTAATTAGGCTACTAAAGCTGGGAGATTTGGGGCTCTGCTTTAAGAGAGTGTAACACAAAGAGGTTCTTCCATTACCAGAGCATTGCCTTCAGAAGCCAGTCTTGGGGTGGACCCCTACACTGATTGACAGCAAAGGAGAAACAGCAAAGAATGACAATTGTGTGTGATAGTGGGGTCTCTCTTACTTCCAAAAGCCAAAAGCAAAGGGTGTCAGCTGGAAAACATCACAGCAGCAGCTCTGGTGGAAGTTGTAGCTCTCCCAGTACTCATGCTATTGATCATGAAATCTAGATCATCTTGTTACAACTTCATTACAATCCATGCAAGGATGTCAACGTGAGAGACTGCATGGTTTCCTGGCAAATGTAGCACAGCGGGTAACAAGAAGAATTATTTTTGACTCACTGATGAAAGGAATATGAAGTTTCCATTAAACGTGCTCTTGTGGTAACCTATTCTGTGGCAGAGCCTTGTAAGCCACTCCCAGGGTCTTGAGAGATGAGCAGTTCTGCATTGTTCTGGTCTTAAGCATACTATGCTGAAGACAGTTAGTCCTTTTCACCTCCGATTATTTTTGAGGGAGATGTGAGAAGAGCATCAGCTGTTTGCATGAGCTATTATATCATTCCTGCAATTTGCTTAAATTGGTTACTAGATTTGGTGAAGAGTTGCCACAGAAGTCAAATGAAGAAAAAAAAAAAAACCAGTAATGCCTCAAGAAGTTTATGGGTGACATCCCGTGAGAATGGGCACACCACTGACTGATAGAGAATCCACTAAAGCTGGGGGTTGAACCCAGAAGCACCCACCCAGTCCACAGGACTTCCCTGCTGTAGGATTTCAGTTTCACAAAAGTCACAGGAACAAAAATAAGCAATTGTTTGGCCATTTTTCATTAGCGCTTTCCATGGGGTCTTGGGGAGTTCTCATTTCATCTGTGTGGTATCAATAAGGACCCTCTAGACTAACCCTGTTTCCTGAATTTTTCCTTACTACAGTTGCTTTTTGCTGTATAGTGTTGAGCAAGGAGATTTTTTTCCGGCTTTTCTAATGACAGAATCCATCTGCAGATTTTCGCACTGATGTTTTATATCTTGTCTTTGCAGCACATGATTGCAGATACTGTTCGGTCACTGAGACACTGCAGAAATAACCAGTTTGGTGAGTAGCCAAAATTTGCTACTTATTTTGACTTTGTACAGCTTTGGGGATTTGGGGTTTTTCCTGCTTTCTTTCCACTTGGTCAGGTTTTCTACAGCAGCAAAATGTGGTCGACAATTATTGAACCAGTTGGCAAGAGGAGGCGGCATTGTTGGAAGGGCAACACAGCAGTAACCACGGTTGGATGAAGTTTTACTTTACAAAATGTTTGCAGAAACAGCTTCCAAATTTCTCACAAGTTATTTTCTTGCAAAAATTACCGCCTCTTCAGAATACTGTGTAAGATCTGTGCCAGCTGCCCTTAATAATGAAGGCCTCTGATGCATGGTGCTGGTTCTCGCTTTCCCAGCTATCACCGAGTTACCTCTGTCTCCTGCTAGTCTGTGTCCTGGTAGGGGATTCACAGCTGTCTTGGCTTCCAGTAGCTAAGAGGTGGTGTTCATCACCACAGCTTTTCACTTGGCTTTTCACCAAGAGCAATTGTTTTCTTAGTTTGGGTTCTTAAGGACATTTCACGAAATGGCAGAAGTCTGGAAGATACTAAGACCCTGTGGGTTTCATGAAAGTAGTTGACTAGGTGGAAAAGAGGGGGTTGGGTTAGTACCTCTGCTAGGGAAAGGCTGCAAATAGAGCTCTGCCTGCTTTAGACACTGGGGGGTCTACGCTGATGGAATGGTCACGAATGCCTCAGCTGCACAAAAGACTTTTTTTTTGTTGTTTTCACCTTATTAGCCACCAGAGAATCCAACCCTCAGGGACCGTGCCAGAAGACCCCAGGTCGCTTTGTTCTGCTGCTCACGGAGGAGAGACCTTGGTTTTCTCCTTCTCAGCGTTTCTCATTCTCTGCAAAGAGGTTAAACACAGGAAGGGGACAAACACCACACTGTGTTTAGAAAGTGGTTAGTTTTTAAGCCAAACCCACTAAACATATCATTTATCAAGGCTACTAAAACCACTTTTCCAAAGAGAAGTTCAGAACCATGCTGCAGCCTTGGGGAAAAAAGAATCTGAATCGTTTCTTTTTTTTCCAGCTGAATTTTCAGCAGCTGTCAGCATGGACTCTGACAAAAAGAATAATAATTTTGTGTATAAATACATGTACCTTGGAGAATAATAGGTACTGTTAAGGGCTTTGCTGAACATTTGTTCTATAGGATTACCGTGTGTATGTACAGTCTTTTTTCTTTTTAAACAAAGGCAGCTCAGCATTATGGTTCTTGTGTTATTTTGAGAGAGATGTATATGAGAGTGAGAAGGATGTGCCTTTTGCTTTTATTCTGTTAAACCAGATACTGAAGGAAATATTGATTAATCAAAACCATGCCTCTGTAAGTTAGAATGTCTCTTATTTGGCATTATGAAATGTAGCATTGTTCTTTTTAATGATGTAAATTATTTTTTTTGCAGCTTCTCTGCAAATTTTTCATCTCATTTTTGCCTTTTTTTTTTTTCCAAGTGGTTTTGTATGTGTTGCAACATAAATCCAAGGTTAATACCTGAGATTTATCATATAATCTGGTAGTTTGAAGTATGTGATTGTTATTTTATTTTACCACAGACTTGATTTATTGTAAAGCTGGCATTTAAAAAGCAGCTTATACAGACATCCCTGTAGGCACTTTTTTTTTTTTTTTTTTTCCCTTAAATTCTTTTAAGCATGAAATGAATTCACTGAATATTTATTGAGACTTTATGGACAGTTTCCTTTTCTAGTGGGCTTATTTTGCTCTCAGGAATGTGAATCTTTCTACTGTGTCAATTCCCAGATTGGCCTAAGAGCAGCAGGCATCTCACTGTACGAAAGAACTCAAACAAAACTAAGCAAGGAATATTATTAATGTTTATGAACTGTATCATGTGTATTGAGCTTGCAGGTCAAAGTCTTTCTGGATTAGAAACTGATCAGGTTCCAAGCAAGACTGAAATGCCTTTTTAATGGAAATAACACTTTTGTATCCTAAATCCTGAAAACAAACAATAGCATTTCCAAAACCAGGCAAAGCAGCCTGAGAAAATAACATAATTCAAGCTTTTGCCATTTTGGGTGTTACTGAGAAATACAAATGTTTCTCAGTACGTTCAGCACAGCTGCTGGGATCCTATTCGCTCAGAACGAAAAGGTCATCTCTGTATCCCGACACGAATTTATCACGTTGTCCTGTTCTCTCCCACATTTCTCAAGTTTGAGAGCTGCTCAGAAATAGCTCCTAAAAAGAGCTGCCCGGGAGCCCCGTTAGCAGCCACGCGCAGAGCTGGCTGTGTTGACATCCCACGTCACCTACACGGCATCACGCAGCGCTCCTCAGGAACAAGTGGGATGGCCGGTTCCTGGAAAGCTTCTTGTGTAGCTGGAGAGCGTGGAGAAAAGGATGATAATGAAACAAAGGAGAGGGAGGGAGCGTGGGAGTTAAGCTGATTGGTTCAGGGAATTTTGAGGGGCTTTCTTTTTTAATTTATGGTAATGTTCTTAAAAATTCCTTGAGGACGTGGACTAGAATGGAGCTCTCCAACCTTCCTTGTCTGTCAGCAGTCGGCAGCGTGTGGGAAACAGATCTCTGTGCTTTCTCTGCCTGTCTTGATGGGGCTAGTGGCCGTGGGCTTAGCTTTTCCTTTTCCACTTCTGCTGGTCACCAGCCGCGCTGGAGGGTGTCACAGGCGGCGAGTTCCCACACACCAGTGGCGGGCGGAAAGCTGGTAACAGAAAACATCTGCTGCTCAAGCCACCCTTCAGATTGTCCGGTACACGGCTAATTCCTTCTGCCCTGTAAACGCCCATGAAATGGCAGCATGACTCTCGTCTCTGTTACTAGAGCAGGAATCAAAAGCATAACAGATCAAAACGCGGAGGGCCTGTCAGAACAGCTTTGAAGAGCTTTCATATCCGTCTGCTGCGCTGTCACCTTTCACCTGCTCTGAAGGAAATTATCTGGGGCCTGCTGTCTTGTGTACTTGTGTTAAAATTGTTTAAGAGTTACAGGCTGGGTCGCCCACCCCTGCTCAAGGTCCTGTTGTGCTGCCAGAGCGGCACAAAGGAAACGTTGAACCACCCTTACAGGGGACGGCCTGCCTGTCGGGCCAGCAGGAGTAAATCTTCCACTTGGGAAGAGTCAGCTTCTTGCCATCCACTCGTCCCTCTTTTGTGCGTGCTGGCTGCCTAGCATTGCTGGCTGCTTTCTTTCTTCTCCCTTCTTCTGTATCTAGCTGTTACCTCCTGCATTGCACGTAAACAGCAAGTCCTTTGGATCGCTGGCCCTCTTCCCTGTGACTGTCTAGCACCTGACAGCTTGGCACACCAGGGACTTCGTGTGACATGCAGGACAGAGAAGCAGGCAAGGCATGGCTTTCTGATCCATCCCCTTTCTCCTCTTTTGCAGGCAATGAAGTTCCTTCGAAAGAGCATCACGAGCTGAAGCCATACATCCATCACCTGCATGTCATCGACAACCAGCAAGCTCTGTTTGAGCTTTCTCACAGGATAGAACCGCGAGCGTGAGCGTACACAGCTTCATATAACCGTGTAACTGCAGCACTTTGAATTAAGTGAATGTTTATGCCAAGCATGTTGCTTCCCTATATAAGAACAGTTTACTGAGTTTTATCAGTAGCTCACACAACATGCACAGGAAAATCAGGCAGGAGCCAGCAAAGGAGCTGCTCACGGAGTTGCAGGGCAAGCTTGGTGCCATCCCCACTGGTCACCAGGACGGGAGGGAGTGGAGCAGCATCCTTTGAGCTCAGGAGCTTGGTTTCTGTGAAAATATTGTTTGGTCCAGTGTATCTTTCAATGCAGATTCTGCCAGTATTAGAATGAAAGGAATCATGTCACAGCAGCAAGACATTTCAGCAAGCAACATGCCGCAAGGGGCTTGATTCTCGGTTCACCTCAGCGCGTACCTCACTAATTCAAGGCTGCCCAAGTATGTTGCCAAAAATACTGTGCAATCTGTGCAGCTCCCCTGACTCCACTGGAGCATCTTATTTGAGATAAGTGTTGACAACCAAGCATGGGAGTACAAAAAGACAGCGCGCCGGATGAGACTCAAGAGCGCGGCGTGACGTGGAGGTCAGCAGTAAACAGTTCACGCTGTTACGGCCCCTTAAGAATCTGCTTTCTGAAACACACTGTAGGAGCCAATCTGCTTTGGTTGCAGTTTGTGGACCCAATTGTTTGTACACTGAAAATGCGTTATTTTCTTCCTTTTCAGTTATCTCAGATACAGTTCCAGCTCCTGCAGTTAACGTGTCATAAATTATTGTAGCAGGAGCTTTGTTTTCTGCTTGGATTACAGCCTCCTTGGTGTCTGTTCAGAGGCAATGCCTAGATCTACCTACATTCCTGGCTCACCTCCTGGAAATACGCTTTCAGCAGGTAAAGTTTCACCTAGCTTGCACACACTTCTCATTTTTGAAGGGCAGAAGGGTACACCTTACTGGGTACCAGTGTAATTACCTGCATACACACGGGGCTCTCGGTGTCAGGGTCCCTTTACTGCTTCTGTCCCTCACACCGCTCCCCGAGCCAATTTACATGTAGCTAAAAGTACTACTTCTGGGCATGTACCGAGGCAGCATTTCTAAACTCTTGCCTGCAGCTGACCTACATCTAAGCACCACCATCACCACGGCTCTGGTTTTCAGTGCTAAGGAGTTGCCCTGAAATAACCCAGTGAATGCCACAGGCGATGTGCAGTGTGGCTGCTCTGGCTGGCACATGTTTGTACACTGACTCACAGTTACAGTCCCTTTACAGAGCAGGGAGGATACATGGCATTGCTTGCTCATCTCTATTGTCTGTTTTCCACATGAGGAAGACTACCAAGAAAATGCTCCTTTACTGAAATGTGGGAATACTGAAGTAGCATGCTCTTCATCATTGTGTTATCTCTGGTTTAAAGGGATGGAAAAAAAGCAGCTTTAACAAGTAGTCTGGGGGGGAATCTGTAGAATGCGTTCGGTTTTCCCATCTGTGAAATACTGTATAGATCTATTGTAAAGGAAACAGATGTTTCAGAAATGTATTTGCTTGTACTTTGTTATTATCAAATATTATATGACTTTTTTTTTTTTTTAAGAAAAAAAAATCTTCTTTTTACCCAGTAAAAAGAAAAAAAAATAAACTCTTGCTGGCCATGGAGTAAAAATTTCCTATGTTCTTCTGTAGATGTGACTGCACATATTGTAAATAACTCTTTTGTGCAAACAGACCAAAACTGTTCAGATGAGGATACTAGCTGCGGTGGGCTCCTTCTTGCAGTGTAGGAACACAAACCGGGTACAATTTGCTGCTTGTGTTACTGCAGTTCTTCCTCTGGCTCCAGCCCTCCCCGAATGCCCACCCTGTCCGTGTTACCTGGGCGGTTTGCTGGGTTTTGAGCTCCCCCTTGTGAAATCTTTTTTACTGTGGCATTATTTTTAGGAGCCTGTACATCAACCCGCCTGCCTGCTTTAGCTCATGCGGTGTAACACTCTAGTCCCCAAGTTGCTCTGTTGAAGTTTGTGGGAGAGGGAGCGTGAGACCCTATTCAGGGTGAGAAACTGGGGCTCTGCCTCAGTTCGCTGCATTTGGCTCTCTGATAGTTGTGGTGGTTAGTGCTGATGCAGCAGCAGCAGCGGTGCCAGAGAAAAATAGAAGACAAGGAAACGAAAGAAGGGAAAAAAAGAAAGAAAGAAAAAAACCCACAGAAGCAGCAAGAGGACTGTGCTCAGGCTTTGGTTTGAAAGCGTGCTAGAGCCACCTTGGAGGCTCCTCGCTCTGCCAGTTCAGAATGGTTGAAGTCAGCGGGTGGGTTCACTCGTACCAGTAGGCTTTGAGCCAGCCGAGGTACGGGCTGGCTGCGCCGCTGCAGCTTTAGACGAAATGAGGTGTTGTCTACCCCTTGCAGCTGGCATAAAATCAGTTTGAAGGCACGTAGCCAGCATGAACCTCGTTATCTGTGTTGTGGCTAATTAGACTCCTGTTTAAAACGTTACAAACTAGTTTTCATAGTGGCCTGTATAACTTGGCTATAAATTTCTGGTCGGAGGGGCCAATATGGGCGCATCCATTTCACACTGAAAATACGGACCTTTTAACTGTTACCATAAAGGAAAGGCGAATAAGCCAAATCCGTAGCTAATATATCTAATGAAAAAAAAGGCCCTTCAGAGTCTTCGTTCAACAGGTGAAGTATCGCAGAGCTGGGCTGCAGACTGGCGAGCGGTTTGAAGGTGTGGTGGTTGGCAGGAGAACTAGAAAGTAAGCCCTGTGAAAGGGGAGGGGGATGCTATACGGCCTCTGCCAGGGTCCAGCACTGGTGATAATTGTGTCATTTTTAAAAAAAATCTTTGGATAGTGCAGTTATGTTACATAGGATAAAATCCGTGAATCCTGCAAGTTCAGTTTATCACAGTCGCACCTGGGGGTAAATACTCTGCGTTCTTCTTTAGTAGCTAGGAGGAGTAATTAGAACAAAGGAAAAAGCTGGGTCACTTTATGCCTCTCTGATGCGGGATTTTGTTGCATCAAATTTAGATGTTTCTGTGACACAGCTTTTTGATTCTAGCCCCGTCTTGGATAGAAATAAATTGCATTTGCATGACAGTGGCAAAAAAAAAAGAAAAAAAAAAAAAAGGTGTTATCAGAAATAATAAGATGTGCTGCTGTAAAATTACAAAGAAAGATGTAAATAGTAAACATTTTAGCAGAGTAATATTTATTTGCATAGCCTATTTATTGTCATCTTGTACACTGTTAAATACTGGGATGAAGTCAATGAGCTGAGGTAAGAACACCTGCCTGTTCCGTTCTCTCTGAGTGCCATAATGCTGTCAGCTTGCATTAAAAGTAATAAAATAGAAAACCCCAAATCAAGGTATTTACCTAACTTCTCAGGGACTACAGCTAGTAGTTATCCACCGTTAGGAGACCTGGTATGTATGAAATAATCTGATTTACCAGAATCAATGTTGCCAATGTTTTCCTTTTCATATTTCATGCTTGTCTGCCTCTGTACATATTATTGTGCTGTGTATTTATGAGAGCTAGTAAGCAATAATTTATATGTCAAAATGGCCAAGCAATACAAGGGTAAAACTTGTAGAAGCAACTGTTACATTTATCTTGCGTTTTCCAGTGTTTTTTAATATTGCTTTTAAAAATATAAAAACTACCTTAATGAAGTCTGGGCTCTGTGCCTTCATGCCTGTCACACGTGCTTATTGTTCCTAACTGGAATATTTTACTTCCAGTCATTCAGTTCCACAAACCCTCGCTGTGCTCACGAGGGGGATGCAGACCCACGTGGAGGCCCAGGAGCCTGACCCTGTTCAGAGCTGCTCGTCCGTCTGTGGCCAGTGGGACTCGCTGGTACCGATGTTTCAGAAGCAGGGATGATGTTAATGGGGTCTCAGCTGCGCCTTATCGTCACGGCGCAGTCTAAGAGGGGCCTGGAGCCACCACGAGAAGTCCCTGAGGGAGAGGGGAAGAGTAAATCTATCTTCATATCTTCTGGAGGCTGCTTATCAGCCCTTGATCCTCTTACTGAGGACAGCACATGCGTTTCCCTGTCACCAGGCATCCCTGCCGGTGTGGTTTCCTCTCCCTCCTCTCAGCTGGTCTGCAGCGGGGAAGGCAGAACCGTGATGGGCTGTGAGTGCTCTGTAACGCATCAGAGGCTTGTCCTGTCCTTCCACCCTTTCCACTCACAAACCCTAGGAGCCACTAAGCTAAACCTGGCTATTTCACACAGAAATAACACTTGGTATGTACAGTGTGATGTCTGTTCAAAAAGTGCTTTACAAATAGGCAGTACTTAATCCTCTAAGTGCCTGCACCTTAAATAGCCTTAAGCCTGACCTACAAGTTAGTACTGTGGTGGTATTAATACACAGGTAGGGAGAATTTTGACTGGAGTGATTAAAACAGTACAAGCCCAAATTGCTGACACAGCTCTGTAATGATGTTTAAAGATGCTTTGCAGCCAGACATCCTTTTCCAGATCCAGCTGCGCAAGCTGAAGAGTCGACATTCCCAGCTGTTCCCTACTGTCCCTTCATTGGAGGTCACTGCTCCCCACAGTGTAGCCCAGAAGGAGACCTGGGCAGTATCGATCCCCTGACCTGTTGCGGGTAGTCAGCTGCGTCGCTTCGAGCCACCTGCGGCTGCGTGCCAGCAGCTGACTGCGCTGAGGGGCTCTCCTGCCATCCCTCGGGGAGGTGGTCACGAGAAGCTAGAGTGACCATACCTTTAAGGTGATCTGCAAAGGGAAAGGTGTAAAGCTGAGGGTAGCTGCCTTACAGCGCCAGCTGTGCTAGAAGAGCCACGAGAAGAGGGAGGCTGCTGCGCTCCGGGTGTCGTCCCTTCAGACCGTCTTGCCGAACTCTTCGGACAATGGCTCCTCTATTCCTGTCAACCAAAAAGAGCTTTATTGGCCAAGACCTGCAATTGGAGCTGCTCAGTGGATTTTAACTGCAGTGGTTAAGATGCCTGTGAGGAGCCGTTCCTGCGAGAGCTGCGTGGAGGTGAGAGGCAGCGGGTGGGGGCGGTTTGCTCTGGGGCCAGGACAGCCCTCTGCACAGAGTGGGACTGACCTGCCTGGGGACAACTGCTCTACCCATTGCAGAGATCATTCCTTCTCAGTGGAAAAAAAGCCACGCAGCCTGAAAAACAAACCTCCCCTTCGCTGTGTTTCACATCCCAGCAGGCTTTCACACCACACAGAGCGTCTACTCCGGAGTCTTGCTCTGTTCTGCCGTGGCGGTGGCAGCCGCGTTACACACACAAGACCCAAAGAGGGTTAAGTCTTCCTCTGGCTCTAAGTGCTGTCTATCCCAACAGACGCCTACAATGACCGCCGTTTCACGTTGGAGAGTTGTGTGACGGCACCCGATGTGCATGGCTGCAGTAACACCGTGGAATACCTGTGGTTTCATCAGAGTTAAAAGAACTGTGCAGTGCGGTTAATAAAAACTGGAGAGCTGAGGAGGCCTGCAGAGGGGGGCCACATGAACAATTTCTGAAGCAAGGAGAGCTTCTCCTTGCATTCCCTCTTGTCTGGAAGAAGGTCAGTGGATTTCATAAGACCCTTGTAAAGGTCCAGAAAGCCTAGTGAAAGTGAGCGTGAGCAGCAGCCCAACCTCG